GGACTTAATCACTTACTATGGCTTAGGATAAAATACCCATAAAAGTCCATACACAACTCTTACAAGGCAAATAAGAAGATCAACCATCAGTAGATGGGAAATCTTCACGCCCATATCATAACCACATACAGGAACTTGCATATTATATATCTCAAGAATCTTCTTCTAATGTTAAGACCTCTTGTCTGACTTTGAGATAATGGACGACAACCTTCTGTACATATAGAGGAGATTCCCTCTAACAGGTATCTGAAGTAGACTCCAATACACATGGCATCATACCACACACAGACTGTTCAGAATAAGTCTGCTTCTCCCAATTCTTCAAGATACAAGGAAGCCCTTCAATCCTTCCAGAAGCAAATGTTTCATTATGTGAGGACATCACACAACTGAACTCCAGCTTAAGGAGAAACTTTATAAACATAAAATAAGGAGAGAATAATCACACTTTCTTTCAATAAGGAACATGACCCTTTGATCCCACAAAAACAAACCACGGCTTCTCCTTACTCTAAAAAAAGTTGAAATGCTCATCCTATGTGATTTAGATGACACTTCAACTGTGCATACACCAATTAACCACTTACCTCAGGTTGACACAACTCCGCTGCAGACAATCCCTTGGATGTATCTTCCACTACAGAACAAGAGTTCCATGCTCTCATAGACTTGGTAAGAATGTCAAGTTTGAGTAAACAACCTCCATCATGTTTTTAAAGAAACATCTACCAAAAACATATTTGAGAATAATAAATTCTCAAACCAAGGATGTCAAGACATTATGTCTGACAATCTTCAAAGTCCTCCAACTCTAGATTAGGGACTCCACCTCAAAAACCGCTAAGAAAATATTAGAGAATCATATATTCTCTCTCTCAATAACAACACATCTTACGAATGGTACACTCCCATAACACCTCTCACATGAAATCTGTTTCATGGCCATACACACGATTTCATAAATCTGACTCCTTTGATCAGAAGGACTTTTAGATGATAGAGAGAATGTCCTAGACATTTGAGCTCAACCTCCATATAGACTCTGGGAGGGATGTCATCAAAAATCACCACTAAACAATTGAGCTCAACTTCTGCACTCCTACTAACTTGGACCAGAAATAAACTGAACCAAAAAGTAATCAATAGGTTGATCATCCATTTATCAACCTACTTCTCTAAGACATGTTTCTAGGAAACTTCTTATATACACAACCCAGATGCCTCCTCTTCCAGATCAGGAGTAGACTCCAAACCTATATGATCAACACACATCTGTTTAGCACCCAAAGCATTTGCTATTCAACAGGAAGTTGCACACCTGTTGAAAAAAATTGTTCCAACATCCAGTAGAACTTCAGTTCCTCTCTCACGAAACACATAAAAAAAACCTTGATTAACTTCAAAGTTTTCAATGGAAATTCATATTCCAATAATAATAAGGATAGACATGTTGAGGAGACCAAACCATAATGCCATTCCAACCAGGGTTACAACAAATACCATGCAACAAAACATACAAAAAAAACTCTCCACATTCTTCAGGCATAACATAAATAATCCTTGCACATAAGTACCACACTCTAGGTGCTAACAAAATAACCTTAGGTTTGAAAATAAATCAAACCAAAATAGAAGCTCTCCACCAAAGCTACAAGCCTGATAACAACAGATAGGTCCAACACACCCTATCATGAATAGTACATCCTCTACTTCTAGGGACCATTCAAATAATAATATGAATTATGCAAGTTTAAATAACTTTTCAGTAGATACCTCATTCCTTGCCCATGACCAGAAAGTATGATCCCAGGATCTCACCCAGAACCAGAACAGGATGCCTACTCTTATACCAATTGAAACTCTGGTATATCAAACTTCAGATGTCCTATGACATGTCGAGACATCTGATCTGAACAAAACACATAGGCAAGGTATAAAAACATGAAAAATAGTGTTGAAAAGCATAAACAACACATAAAAATTGTTAACCCAATTTGGAGTAACTCTCCTACTCTGGAGGCATACCAAGCCAGAAACAAGTCCATTATAATAGTATCAATCCGAAGCTAAACTCACTCGTTTATAACTTCTCACTTAATCACTACTCGTGATATACTTGTATATAAGACTTACCTAGATATGAGACCCTCCTCAATCCCTCATCAATCACAGATAACGATATGACAACATAGGAAGATATACTTCCATGACAAAAATAGAAGACACACTTCCATAGCGAGAAGATACACTTCCATGACAATATTAGAAGTCTCACTTCTAAAATAATACCTAACCAAGACTCTTGACTAAGAACAACAAATTGGAGTTGCTTAAAAGCTTCCTCCAAGAACAATACTCAACTCATTACCTAAAGGCTTCTGAGTGAGAACATAATCTTACAACTCAAGAAACATATTCCAACTCACATGTCGAGTGGAACTCACAACCAACTCTTCTAGAGAGTGGTACGAAGTCATCCCTAATAACTACATCTTTTTAATTCTTGGTTGATACTAATCCTATGTTACAATGCTTCTATTTATAACCTATACCCAACTGGATTTGGACCTTCAAACACAGCTCATCAGCTGTTACAAATCAACAGTAACTTCTGCTACAAACAAGGTCTTCAAGTAAATCTTTCCTAATTTTTCTCCGTAATTAGAAATTCAATATTCTTAAATATTATTAAATGTTCTTCAATATTCTTCTTGATTCTAACTTGAATCTTCCAGACCTATAACATAGCCCACATGGGATAGCATAATATTCTCAGAATATTCTGCATCTGTTAAATCATAACAGAATCTAATTGTCTAGCCCAACCCAAGCGCGATGTCGTATGACCCATCATGGCATTGCATACAACTCACTTTTTACCTTTTCAGGAAAGATAAATCAACAAAAAATTATCATCAACAAATTTCTGACAAGACATGACAACTATCTGTGAACAAATCGATTGTAGATCAATTCCCGAAACAAGATGAGGTAACTATCTACTTGACAAACACTTCTTATTCAAGACTCCTGCTGGTTCAGATAAATCATTATGTGGTTTATTCTGATTCTTTTTCGTAGAAATTTCCTCTGGTTCAGATAAATCATTCCAAAGATTTATTCTGATTCTTTTCCAGACTTCTGCTGGTTCAGATAAATCGTTCCAATGGTTTATTCTGATTCCTTTCTGGTAGACATTTCCTCTGGTTCAGATAAATCATTCCAAAGATTTATTCTGATTCTTTTCCAGACTTCTGCTTATTCAGATAAATCGGTTCAATGATTTATTCTGATTCCTTTCTGTTAGACATTTCCTCTAATTCAGATAAATCATTCCAAAGATTTATTCTGATTCTTTTCCAGACCTCTGCTGGTTCAATTTAAAATCAATCAATGATTTATCCTGATTCCTTTCTGGTAGACATTTTCTCTGGTTCAGATAAATCACTTCAAGATTTATTCGGATGCTTTCCAATTAAAGAATATTCAAGACCTCTACTGGTTCAGATAAATCGTTCCAATGGTTTATTCTGATTCTTTTCCGGTAGATATTTCCTCTGGTTCAGATAAATCATTCCAAAGACTTATTCTGATTCTTTTCCAGACTTCTGCTGGTTCAGATAAATTGTTCCAATGGTTTATTCTGATTCCTTTCCGGTAGACATTTCCTCTGGTTTAGATAAATCATTCCAAATATTTATTCTGATTCTTTTCCAGACCTCAGTTGATTCAGTTTAAATGGATCAATAGTTTATCCCGATTCCTTTCTGGTAGACACTTTCTCTGGTTCAGATAAATCGTTCCAAGATTTATTCTGATGCTTTCCAGTTAAAGAATATTCAAGACCTCTATTGGTTCAGATAAATCGTTCCAATGGTTTATTTTGATTCCTTTCCGGTAGATATTTCCTATGATTCAGATCATTTCAATATATTGGGCAAATTTGAGCACATATATCTGGGCAATGGTGAAACTTGGTGAGAAATTCTTGGATCAGTGAGTATAAGAAGACGAGGCTCACAAAAATGAAGTTTGAAGTTGATTTGTGAATGTACCAGGAGTGTGTCTACCAACAAAAGTATGAGCACCAGTATATTGGGCAAATTTGAGCACATATATCTGTTCATAAGGTCTAGCATATTGAACAATTATGTCCCAATGGTTTTCGATTGCAACCATAACCCTTTCCGCAAGCTGAAGCTTCTCCCGTGGCTTTCCAAAATTTACAATGCAAATACCTAAACAAATTCAGACATAAAACCAATTCATAATTTATAGATAAATGCACCTACAAGATGAACCTTAAATATACTGCTGCAAGTTCCTGAACATGATAGTGCACGTATTTGACATGAATGAGTGATGACTTTTCCAGGTCCTAGGAAATGCAAAAGGAGTTGTGGCAGTTGTTATGTACATTTTGATATTTAAAAATCCTGTATCAATTACTGGAATTTTGAGATATTCTCTAACAGTCATTGGGGTTAACCTATATAGTGAAGCCAAGAAGAGAAGCAAAAGAGATATTTAGCTAAATTGTATAAATCAACAATTTGCAAAAGCATTATGGTAGAACCAGCCTGTAACCATATGAAGCCACTTCAAACATTTCCAGGACAAAGTGTTGCATTTAACAGCATAGTGATGCCCAAACTGGCACATAACTAGAATCATGACAGTGATAGGTTTTATCTCAATATCAAGAAGCAAGCAAAAAATTATATATCAAACATCATCAATGGACAATCATGTATGTATCTGTCAGAATCCTTTATAGAGTAAAGTTTACGTGTCCTGAATGCTTGATATTGTAAGTTGATAAATAGGCACGAGGTTGGGAGCATAAAAAATAGCGTAATAGCTACTATTTGGTAAACAAAGAGGAATAGGTAAAACCTACTAACACTGATATATAAATCAAAGCAATATGCTGAGAATATACATATACAGAACAAACTTGATTAAAAAAAACAATATGCATAAAAAACAGAAACAAGTTAAAAATATATTATATCACTCCTATCATATTTGGAATTCCTAAATTTGCGTATAATCCGGTCCTTGAGTACGAAGACTCGAAGAAGCTTGCAGTTTTGGTGGAGAAAGTTAACGAATTGGTCACCAGCAATGTGATTACCAGATAGGTTAATCCTGCGGAGATTGGGAAGTGCCAATAATGGATCATTATCATCTACCATAAAATCTTTGTCACAACAAATACAGGGATAAGTGAGATTGAGCTCTTCTAGTAAAGGAAAACAATCAACGATGAAGAATAAATCTTTCTTTTCTACCCGAACCATTTTGTAACAAGTGAGAAATTTCAAATTTTTCATGGTTTTGGACAAAGCTATCAAGCCATTGGAACGAATAGGAATGGGTCTGGTGGAGAGATTGAGCGATTTGATGTTGTGGAAAGGGAAAGTGGAGATTAGGGTTAGAATATCGTCGATTTCTTCTATGGTTTTGGATTGGATAGTGAGTTTGAGGGACCCGAGGTTAGGGAAGCGGTGGAATAGGCGATGAAGATAGGGGATGGTTTGATCGGTGATTTTAACGGTTAATCGGAGACGGTTTGTGATGGCCAGAAACTGTTTTGAGGCGACTGAGAGTTACTTGAAAGTACGGCGGTGGCCGTTGAGAGATTTGAAGATGCGATCCAGTAATTCCTCCGGTAAATATGAACATACTTCTTCTTCTTCTGCTACCGCCATTCTGGATCTGGATGCTGCTCCCGACATTGTTCTCACTTTTATTTTATGTTACTCCCTCTCCATGCTCTTCTTAATATATTTTTTTCTCCATGGAAAACGGTACGGTAGGCCCAACAATAAATCCTTAACAAACAAAATTGGGGAAAGAGAATCATTATCATCATCTCCTTTTTCAAATTCCTAGGAGGAGAGTATGCGATGAGATTAGTCTCAAAGAAATTGCACCGGTATGCCTTTCTCATTAATGTAGTTTGTAATCAAGAGAGATCAGTTGGAAGTTATTTATCTTGTAAGTTGTTAGACGATGTGATCGATTTAGAAGGGAGGTTGAATAGATCATTTAAAATAGTTTGTGCTTTTTAAAATTGTTTTTCAGAAATATATGCGAAAGCTCTCGGAATCTCCAATCGTCTAAACGATCCTCTATTGAAAAGATCAGATATACGTAACCGTATGAGATAGAATGACAAAGTTTGCCAATTTATAATTTCATGTCAATACATCATCACCATCATTAGATAGTCTTTCGGTTCAAAATACAAGGGTTGCAAGTTGAAGTTCATTTAGTTAGTGGTGCATACCATATTGGCCCTTTTTCTTAAACAACAAGAAGCTAATTTTTCCCCTGATTTAATTTGGGCTTAAGTAACTTCTGCTTATTTATTGTGACTACGATATTTATTGAGGTTATTTGATTTAGAAGCTCATGGTTTTATTTTGGCAAGACTATCATGGTTAACTCAATTAAAATTCATCAAAAGTAAGGTTGAATGGAATTGAAAATTCATTTGCTATTTTAAAGTTAGATTACCTGAATAACAAGTTAACAAAAGCACTGTGATTTAAGCCAGATTTTTCTATTTATTGTTGATCAGTTATCATTTCTGCTATAGTTATTATCATTTTAACAGGTGAAAGTAGGCAAGTTATTTGCATTTTTCATATAGTTTGAGTGATTTATGTGTCAGTTTCTTTAATTTCGTATTTTTGATGTTTTAAGTATTCCTGTTATTCCTGAAAGTCAATCATATGGCCAGGAAAGGAACACGACGAATTTTTAGAAAGAAAGATGTGAGATATGGAAATTTTCAACATGTTTTTCATCATGACAGACGTGCTATATTTTGATCATAACTAGAGTGTCATAACTCGAAATGACGTGGGACCGGTGGCAAATGAAATTTAACATCAAGGGCTATAACTTTCATGAAGACATCAAATGCTAAGTCGGATCTGTTCATACGCGTATGGGATCTGGAAAAAACATGTTGCTTCCCATACGCGTATGGATGCCCCATACGCGTACCATACGCAAAAATGATGCACTTGATCGCGACTTTATGAGTCTATCAAGTGTAGTGACTGCAAGTGCACAGTCTATCGCATAGTTTTAAAAGATATCAAATCCACAAGGACTGATAGTCAAAAACTACTGTTATCTAAAAGTTACTATGTAGAGCTAAGGCTACTAATAAGTTTGGGCGTTTGGGTTTAATTGGGAATTAACTAGAATTTAATAATTAATGAAGGACACCAGTATGTATGTCATTAACTTAAGGGATTCAGTACATCATTAGCATTTGTTTTTAGTATTAAAACACAGTTTCGATGAAACTATTTATTTAAAAACCTCAGTCTCAAACTTCCGTTCTATTGAATTAGATCATATCAGTTAAGCTCGAAATGAATGTTTTCGGTGTTTCATTTAAAATTCAAAAGTATTTTTTGAAAACAAATAAGATTCAATTAACTTTAAAGCGCTTCCGCTATTTTTAAAATCAATGTTTCAATAACCACTATCTGGTTAAAACCTCAAACTTCCGCTCTATTGAATTTTAACCTTAGACTGTTTCTTACTTCCGTACAAAAACTTATTAAACATTCAATTGGAAACTAAAACCAAAAAAGTATTATTTTTGTAAAAATAATAACACCAATTAATTACCGAACCCTTTTCGGTCAAGTTCTACATACTGGTAGAGAGAATCTAGTCGGACATAATATTATTGCAGAACATCATAAAATTAAAATATAAATTCGACAACGCATGCATAGCAGAGAATAAATAAATATGCTTATTGAAATAAGAACCTGAAAGCGAATACAAAGCAGTAAATTCCAATAATGCGTGTGTCCTTCACAAGTCGGCAGGATTGACTTTAAGTAAAATAGCTCGAATAAAATCAGAGTAATCCTAAATAATTTTTGAGGTCTGGAAATAAACTAATGTTGTAGTATTTCTCCGATGTGGAAAAATACTGCTCTGACGGTGAGGTTTTATTGCCTACGGAATACTACTACTGGAATATTAATGCTGGAATTCTAAAACTCGAAAGTAAAAAGCAGAATACAATCTAAATAAAGTTCGGCAGAAAAATAAAACTTTGTAACAAATTTTTGTTCAAAGTGCAGGCCAAGCGAAGAGAGAGAGAGAGAGAGAGAGAGAGAGAGAGAGAGAGAGAGAGAGAGAGAGAGAGAGAGAGAGAGAGAGAGAGAGAGAGAGAGAGAGAGAGAGAGAGAGAGAGAGACGAAAAATTGGAAACTGCTTCTTATAGAGTCCATTTTTGTTGAGGGAAAATAGGTGACTTCCATGATTCACGTTCTTCATGCAGAGAAAATCCAGGTAACGTGCGCTTATTGTGCTCCACTGGCGAAGACTTCGTAACTGCTTGGAACATGCACATCATCCACATATGTCCTGGTCGTAACATGAGTATGCCGAGGGGCACAGAAATTCAGCTTGTGCCGGTCGTAACATGCATGTGCTGAGGGGTACAGAAACTTAGCTTGTGCCGGACGTAACGACTTTGTGGCGGGTGTCACGCTTCTCTGCTACAAAACTGCATTTTGCTGTTTTAAAACCATTTCTTCTTCATTTTTCCATTCTTTTTCTTCCTTTTCTTATTTATGCCTTGAAAATGCTAGGTACATGAAATATGATTCAAAAACTACAAAAAGGGATAAAATGTGACATAATAATCGAAGAATCGGAAATTTAATCTATGTAATTTGGACGAAAAATGCTATATCTTTCAGTGTTATCAAACTCCCCTAAGCTTGAACCTTTGCTTGTCCTCAAGCAATAAAATTAGTATAGAAACTAATAAGGTATAGGTTAAATGCAATTCATGTCACAATTCAAATCATAAGAGGCTGCCAAGTTTTTGCGGAAACGTAAGCTCAACATGACACAGAAGATACGGTAATAACACTAAACATCCCTTATTGTGCAGACCAATTCCAATCATGCCATTATAGCCCGACCTAACTCTTTTCGCTAAATTTTACCCGTTTTCATTCTAGTGCAATCACATTAAGCCCTTTACCTTCACACACACATAGTAAAGTAGCCAGTTAGTGACTATGATCCTTTTAAGCATGAGGTTCTGGAACATGAATGCAATAACCTCCTTTAATTCAACAATTGCAAGTTGCGGGGGATTGGACCATAGTCCGCCCTACCAAGTTCAGTACCAGACACCTCTGAACTAACTGACAACAGGTTTTTGTGTTATAACACGTGGGCATTACATCTGTTGGATTAAGCGACCGTGTGAGGATCGTCTAACTTAATTGGTGCATTCCCTATATTATTTAAACAGTAAAGCATATATCTTTCAAATACGCTGGATCATTCACTTATATTCATCGACTCCCTACTTAGTTTATGTTTAAGACGGTGCTGACTGCTAGATAAACTACTCGGGGTCATTTTAAAGCTAAAGTTCAAGGTTTTGGTATAAAGGGTACTGAAATTGACCTAGCGCAATCTGGGGATTTAGAGTGTTACAACGATATCCATCGTACCTCTGTTTCACTCAAAGCTTCTCATATATCTTTTGAAAAGTGAGCAACCTATATATTCTTTGAATGCGTCAGATTATGAAAGTAACTAACAGGAAAAAAGTTTGTTATGGCTCAAGAAAGTGGGAAATTAGATAACAACGAAAAGATTGCATAAATCTTCATTGGCCTAGATTTTATTTTTTTCTAACAGACTTTCAGATATAACAGAAACTATATAAATCGATTGCTCACCATCAATCTTTATTCATTCTTCAATTCTCTGAAGAATCACCATCAAACTCTCTCTCTCTCTCTCTCTCTCTCTCTCTCTCTCTCTCTCTATCTATCTCTATTTCTCTTCTTCAACCTTCAACATTATTCATCAATTCTCCACAATCTATAGAGAAATCTTCAACATAACTCATAATCATCTCTCTCTGAAATCAGTTAAATCTTCAGTATTCTTCAAACTTTAACGACTTCTCAAGAATTGAATCGCTGCACTTTCATCTTCTTCGACGAGATCGCACATCACACTGAAACATTCAATAGCAGATCGTCATCATCATCGCATATTTGTCGTACCTACAACAATGTGACTGAATCTGCGTCAACAACTTCAACACTACAACGTAACAACTGAAAGCAAAGAAAGGAATTGGATATCGCGACGTAGCTTGAATGAAGACGAAGTACGAAGGAACGAGCGTACCAGAGTTGAGGACCTTTTTTTTCTATTCGTCTTCTTCATGATTGAAGAAGCGCCGGACTATTTTCCGGTAGGTAAGCTTCAGTGTTTGTTATGTTCTTCATCGTTGTTCTTCATGTTAATTGAATAAAAAATTAAAGCATTTAACATAAAGGTGATCAAATAGGAGATGGAGAGTGGAGGTGTGAAGCCATGGCATCGATTGATCGGAGAAGGAGAGTACATGGAGGAGTAGTCGCCGTCGATTTTTGAGGGAGAAAAAGCTTGTTCTGTTAGAAGATGGAGTGTCACCCCCCATTTTTAACCCTAAGTTTATTTTTATTATTTCCTTAATATTTTTTATATAACAACTGAAATA